GTCAACCAGCAAGCTTGGACCGCACCCAATGGGATATATCTGTATGGGTTAAGAATACAGTGTGAGTGTGGGTGTTGGAGACCTTTATATCTGAGGAGATCTACGCTCAAAGACTTTGATCTGGGGAGCAGCATGGAGAAGCTACTCCGAATGAGGCTATGGTGGAATAGGTTTATTTTTGCTCTCTCGTTTGACTTAAGATGAAGATGCCTTATTTTGTGTTACTTACAAGGACTATGTAAGTTCCTTGCATTGTTTGATTTTTATATGTAACATTATGTTTCATCTCTGCTGAGCAAAGAGTAAAGTTTTTTTCTGTTCATTTTTTTACTTTTGTTTGTGAGTCTATTGCATTTGGACTTTGGGCACTGGGTAAAATCTGCTGCTGCACAACAAAAATAATCATCAAAGATATGAAATTTTCATAATTTCACCCATTGAAGCAAAATGTTTGAAAAGTTGCATTCTTACACACACGAACAAAGAAGTAAAGATCTATATGTTCATTGTTTTAACAATTCACATTGTAGATAAGGATAGAATGGACTGTCACCTTGTCGTGGTGAGGGGGCTTGCGTGTTCCGATGAACCTGTGGGCACTACAACTGGAGTCGTGCACTCCCAGGAGTGGCCACGGGGGAGGTTCCAGACCAAGCACAGTCCGAAGACCCAAAGACCTCAATGGGTGGAAGATAACATGGTACATGTTACAATGGCTGTGAAGGTGGAAGAAGGCTGCAACAGACTGAGAAGCCACTGTCATTGTGTTAAACCACACCACCAGTGGAACCTCACTCTGTGAAGACTGTGTGTTGATCAGTTGTGCACTGACCTCCACACATTAAAAAAATTCACGCACAGGTGTCTTCCAAAGAAAATAAAAACACACCAACAAAAGTCGCATGGTGATCAGCGAGTGGCGACGGGAGCAGGACTGTAAAATCTGGAARCCCCTAGTCAYGGACTGGCACATGGACGGTGGATACGGACTCAAGGTCCGAGGCAGTTGWGTAGTTCGGGAGCTGTATCCATGACTGAGCAGCCCTTTTTAGGACCCACTCTGATCACCCCACATGGGGAAGGGGCTAGAAAAGGTGCCCTAAACATAGTCTGCCTCTCTTATCCCTGACTGGACTGCCACGTCCAGTGGGGTCACCACCCTGCAGCCAAAAAAGAAAAATRAACTTYGGTACATGGAAYGTACGGACWCTGATGGACAACASTGRCAGTGAAYGCCCCGAACGCAGAACTGCBATCATTGCAAGGGAGYTGGGAYGCTTYAAYATCGACAKHGCMGYMCBBCAGGAGACCCGGAGAGCAGGAGAGGGACAGCTGAAGGAAGAAAAAGGAGGCTACACCTTCTTCTGGAAGGGACTGCCTGAARAAGACCAAAGAATACATGGAKTTGGCTTTGCTATCAGAAATGATCTGGTGAAACATCTGACCGAAGCACCCACTGGCATCAATKAACGACTCTCAACCCTCCGAATTGATCTTGCCAAAAACCAACAGCCAACCATCATAAGTGCCTATGCACCAACACTAGATGATGATGAAGACATCAAAAAAAGGATAGAAGATGATGAAATGCTAATAGAAAAGTAATGTTTTAAGGGAAATAGTTCAAATATTGACCACTGACTTCTAATTGCTGTGCTAATTTTCAATTTGTAAGGGTTTTTTTCTGACAAAAGAAAATAGTAATTAATATGATATCTCCCCCTTTAAACAGTGAAGTCCAGAATTCATTATGATACCACACTGTGAATTGGCTAAAGATTTAATACTTAGTTCAGGTGATATGTTAAAAGCAGAATTTTTTTTCATTTCTTCGCTAGAGTCCTCACATGACTGGCCATAAGACACAAAGCTCTCATGTCTATCTTAAAGAAATGACTTCTTTCAGTCCTTTATCCATGGATGAATTTCTTACATCTCTACTCCTATCTCATTCATGAAGTATTATTTAACTTTGGCCCCTTCTTTGCATCTTCTGGTCTAGTCTTCAGTCCTGTCTGACACACAACAAAAAAATATTCACCCTCCGTTGCGGCTTGGGATACAATGGTAAAGGAAGTCAAGCCAATGCCACACCTCTTTTTAAAAAGCCACCAGTTGATGCATCCCATGGTTAATAAAGAAATGTTAGCTATTAGTCACAGAAAAATAGCAATTTGAAACAACCTAATCCCAACATAGCTAGAGGAGGACACCCTTGTATGTTGGAGTTTTTGATAAATATTAGGCTTATGCAATAAATGAAAAAAAAATGTTTCAGTACTCATTACTAAATTAAGGAGGAAATGCAAATTGTTTCTTAAGTGTTTCTAAAATATCATAAGGAGTCCATATCATGACTATAACAAAGTTACAAAATTTTCATTAAGTAATTGTGCCAGTGGGAAAGCTTCAGGGGCTCATTTCTCCCTCTTTGTTAGAGCTATCAGGAGGAAGCTTACTACAATTGTAGCACACATTTACCACTTCTATCCCCCCCCCACATATTTCAGAAAGTTTCACTCATCCACTGATTTTGGGGAATTTTCAAAGTTTTTACAAACAACATATATTTTAAAAAAACTACAAGAGAAATCTCCTTGAATTTCTATTTTCAATGAGACAACATCGAAAAATATTGAAATGCCAGATGTCCAGACTGGAATCAGAAAAGGAAGGGGCATCATAGCAAAGCCTTTGATGCTGTAGATCATGAAAAACTATGTATCATTCATAAAGAAGTGAGTGTGCCACAGCATTTGATTTCCCTGATGTACAATCTGTATTAAAGATAAGAGACTGTTGTCGCTACAATGACACAAAATAACCAGGGCATCGTTACCTCCAAGTTTCAGAAAGGTTCACACATCTACTGATTTCGGGGGAATTTTTTTAAAAAAATGGACAAAAACTTCTTTTAAGCCACAATAGCTATCCCTTTGGATGACACACAACATACCATACAACTTTAACTTAGGGATTTTCCTCCCAGTCCAGCACAGATTTATTATTAGTCCTCTTTGTAGATTCAATAATTTATTGGAACTCTAAACTGCATGGCTGGCTGCTACTATGGATGGACAATAGCTCTCTTCTACCTCATTGGGGCTTTCTGATGTGAGCAGAATTCTGGACCTTCTGAATTCTCTCCACAGGGATCCTCACTTTCCCAACTTACATTTCCCAGAATCCTGTTCACATCAGAAAGGGGCTGCCGGCTTTCAAGTCTCTCTCAATCTCCCTCCCAGCTCCCACAATGGTGACGGGCAACCTGGCTCTCCTTAATTTAAAGAGGAATGGCCTCTTTGGCTTCACCCTACTGGTACAGTTTGCTTGTACCGAAAATGAAACTGACTTTGGGAGACTTACAAGGCTTACTGAACTTTAATGAAAAGCCATCGGTGAGTATTTTGATTTTTAAGATTTTTGCATGGATGCCCCTCTCATTTCTTATTATTGTGTCATATGTACAAACCTTATGAAATAGATCTGACATATGAAACACAAATGACTTTTTGCACAGCCCTAATAAATAATGATGGGTTGTTGTCATTTGTTCTCTGGAGTAATCTCCTCTTTTCCTCAGATACAGTATTTTCTTCATAGAACTTTAGTAGAGGTAATTCTGGAATTTTTCAAGGTCACCTCTTCCTTTCTTTTTCTAGAGCATTTGCTGATTGCCTTATAACAAATCAGACAGTGGTATATCTATTCGAATAGCAGCTTTCCAAGGTTTCAGGTATAATTCTCTCTCATTTTCTGGTGGTTTTAGCTAGAGATACTGGAACTCAGCATGAGATCTTCTGCAGGCAATAGTTTTGTAGAGTTGGTAAACACCAATCACTAAACATTGTCAACATCAGACAATATCTTATGTTGGACATGACAATGTTTGTCCAATCCTTATTGTTGGAGAGGACAATGTTAGTCCTCTCCACCAGTAAGGAGAAGACTCAAAGAAATACTACGTTGCATATTATACATATAACAACCATAAGAAAGTAGAAGCTTGCAAAAGTGGCATATGCTGCATCATTATGCCTGCTGTTTCAACAGACAAGAAAGTCAATTGCTGCCAGCATATCACTGATTCTCAAGTATCCTTGGGCCATAGAAGTCAATCACCCCCCCACACACACACACACACACACACAACTATAAAAAAAGGCTCCCCAAATAAGAAGTAAATGGGAGAGTAGAAAGACTACAGGAACAGTGGCAAAGCCACGAATAATATTCCAGCAAACTGGCAGCTGTTAAAGCCAGAGAGTTGTGTGCTCCCTGTAACCAGCCCCAGTTAACTATCTAGCTGAAGCAATTTGGATCAGATAAAATATTAAACACTATTTTAAAAAACAGCCCCAAATAGAGCCCATTACAGTAATTCAAATGTGATGCAATTAAGGCATAGAATACCAATACAAGATCTGGTGTCACAGGGAATGAGAGCACAAGATGTATGTGTGAAAGCTTAATCCAGGAGTACCCGCAAACTGTGAACCTGTGTCATCTGGAGGAGTGTAATCCCATTGAGCATAGGTTAAATCCCTGTTAATACTACTAATAGCTCTCTCTCTCTCTCTTAGTTTCTTTTCTGAAAGAGATGTCAATGCACTAGGTAGATGGAAGGGGAGACAAATGGGATACATTAAACAAACAAAGGAAAAATAAATCAGTATTTATAAATGATTTCAAAAATGTTACTCCTTTGTCCTTGTGATAGGTGCAGACAGAATAGGCATGGTGAGCTTATTTCATTTTACTTAGGTGTGTAAGCATGTAGACTAAAGTTTAAAATCTATAAACATACTGAAAGCAATCAATCGTAAGTCAACATTGTGAAAGCCAAAGGAACATTTATCAGTATGTTTGGAAATTAGATAAAGAATAGAGGAGGCCACTCCAAATACAAAGTCATCAAAGCAGGCCAGCTTGGAAAGGCAAAGCAAACAAGTACTTCCCTAGAATGGATTATGTTGGTTCACAAAGCTGTTTTCACTAACCTTGGATGGAAGCAGCACCCAGAAAGCCAATCCGTATGTCCTTCACCTTTCATGATGATGTTCCCATTAGGAAAGGCCCACATTTTCCACAGGCGATCATCACTTCCAGTAACAACAATATCTTTCCTTGGATGTAAAGCCAAACTATGGGAAGGAAAAAGAAGGATGTAGTGGTTAGAAAAAACACATTTTTGAAGTAAATAAAGAAATTGAATAAAAAGAGCCCATGTGACTCACAGCTATATTACACATGCCAGGTAAAAAAAGAGGGGGCAAAGCTTTATAATTTGCTTTATAACTTAAGTTTTACAATAACCACTGTAAGATCACATTTCAAGGGTGCGGTGTTGGGCTAGGACTCTGAGGGCCCTTCCACACAGCCCTATATCCCAGAATATCAAGGCAGGAAATCCCACATTATCTGAGTGTGGACTCAGATAACCCAGTTCAAAGCAGATATTGTGGGATATTCTCCCTTGATATTTTGGTATATAGGGTTGTGTGGAATAATAATAATAATAATAATAATAATAATAATAATCCTTTATTTGTACCCCGCTACCATCTCCCGAAGGACTCGGTGCGGCTTACAAGAGGCCGAGCCCAAATACAACAATAAAACAACAACAGCAACAACAACAACAGGGCCCTAGGAAACCAGACTTTGCATCCCTATGTATCCACTGAAACCCACTGGTTGTCCATAAACAAGTCACACTATATCAGCCTCAGAGGAAGATAATGGCAAAGCCTCTCTAAATAAATGTTGCCCTTCTGTTTTCAAGATCCACACAACCATATAACCCAGAATATCAAGGACGATAATCCATAATATCTTCTTTGAACTGGATTATCCGACTCCACACTGCCATATAATCAGGTTCAATGTGGATTTTATATAGCTGTGTAGAAGGGGCCTCAGATAACATTTGAAGACACACCCAACAACAACTGTGATAATTACCAGCTAAATTAAATTCATACCCTACAGATATAGCAGAATGGTGGTGGTGGTGGTGGGGAAATAAGTTGCTTAAAATCAATCTGAAAATCAATCATTACATAAAACTTTCAGCAAATAGCAGTATTTCATTATGCTAAATCTGCCAGAATACATGCCATCACGAGGATTCAACTAAATCTTAGTTAAGGTCCTTGTAATACATTTTATATATTTCCCAGAGATGTATTGCTTCTCCCAAGCCCTCATAAATTCTTTTGATATCTACAAAGGAGGAAAGACACCAGTTGCCATAAACCAAGTTTGCTCCATGGCAAGAAGGATAAAGCCATAGACAAGCCTCCCCTAAAGATTATTAGCACAATTTTCTGCAAGGACAAGAATCCACAGTTAAAACCTCACTGAGAGATAGCCGGCTACCTGGGATCTGTTTACAAACCGCCAACAAAGAAGATTCCTTGCAAGAAAATTTGTTTCCTAATAGTTAGCTGAAATACGAGGGGTATTTTTTAAGTAAGGTCCGTGTAAACATAAGTACACAACGAAAGTTTATTTCAAAAAAGTAAATTTATTTTCAGAAAGTACATACTTCACTCTATTTTTCGACATAGTTGCCAAGTTTGTTCAAACACTTATCATACCTCTGAACCAATTTTAAAATAACCTCTTCACAAATCCTCGCTTCTACTGAAGCCACCAAATCGTCTGTAATCAAAGAAGGGCGACCGGAGCGGTCCTCATCATGGACGTTGTCACGGCCATCTTTGAATTGTCGTACCCACTTACACACTTTGCTTTCACTCATAACAGTATCACCGTACACTTCACAAATCTGTCGATGAATTTCTGCAGCAGGCAGGTTCCTTGCTGACAAAAACTGTATCACTGAGTTAAACTCACATGTGGCGGGTGAGTTGATAGTCTTAAACATTTTTAAAGCACAGAACAGAACCGTACAGGTTAGCTACAGAGCACAGTTGTTCCCGAGGCATGCCGGTACATGACGCACACACTTGTTGCGGTATGCGCGCGAACTACTAGTGTCTACAACAAAACGGACCTTACTTAAAAAATGCCCCTCGTATCTTTCATTGCAATCTGAATCCATTGCTTCAGGCCTCTTTTTGATGCAGCAGAAAATAAGCTTGCTCCGTCTTCTACATCAAAGGTCCCTAAATTAAGGCCTGTGGTCATTTCCCCCCCCCCCCCCATCATCTACTCTACACTTTGGACTTATGATCACCCTAAGTCCGAAACAACTTGAAGGAACACAACAACAACAATCCTAATTACCTTGACTATCTCATCACACAAAAGCAGCTCCATACTTCACTGGTAAATTTATGTTGGTAAATTTCTTCTTCATTTAAAATATTGTATTGTTCTTTCATGGGTTTCTTTTTGCACTACAAATAGGATGTGTGCAGTGTGCATAGAAATTCATTTGTATTTTTTTCAAAATATAATCCACTTCTCCAACAGTTTCAGGGACTGTGAACTGGCCAACTATTTAAAAGGTTTGAGAACCCCTGATTGAACAGTTGATTCAATGAATTGTTCTAGTATTATTGAGATCTTTGATCCCAATAATGATGGAATAATTCATAGACTCAACCATTCAATCAGAAGTTCTCAAACTTTTAAAATAGAGGGCCAGTTGAGGGGACAAGGGATAGGGCTTTCTCGGTGGTGGCCCCTCGACTCTGGAACTCTCTTCCTAAGGACATCAGGCAGGCCCTGTTTTTAGGAGGAGCTTGAAAACGTGGTTGTTCCAGTGTGTCTTTCCAGAATAAGGAAACTCCTAGCATTATGTCCCAACACACTTTATCAGAGATTCTGGATATCTGCATGCCCATCCCCCTCCAAACTCCCCACCTTGCCATGCCCAGCACTTTTAAATTTTAATTTTTAATTATTACATTTGGCCCGGCCATTGTTTTAATTGCGTCATTGGGTGTTGTTAATGTTATTGCTTTGGGTTTGTTGTTGTTGCTGTTGTTTTTATTGTTGTATTTGGGCTCGGCCTTTTGTAAGCCACACCAAGTACTTCGGGAGATGGTAGTGGGGTACAAATAAAGGTTTATTATTATTATTATTATTATTATTATTATTATTATTATTGAGGTCAAAATTGCAGGCGATAGCAAGGGATTTGCCATGGACCGGTACAAATCTGGCTGAGAATGTGGGGAACCCGTCACCCTGCATCGCCCCTTACCTATCCGCCCAGCTTCCCCCTGTCCTCAATGAGGACATGGGAAACCTCCCTCCTTGCTTCCTCTTCCAACACTTTCCCCTCAGTTCAGGGAAGGAGCCCCACCGGAATTAGATCTACATCAGCTGATGGTGTTGTGACACAGCTGGAATCAGAGAGTGTTGCTGACGAGGATGATGGGACTCAGGTTCACAGTTTGGTTTAAGATGTCCCTGCTATAGACAGTGAAGAAGAAGTGCAGTTTCCCACAGCAAGGCATAAGAGAGTGGAAACTGAAAAAAGCAGCCAGGTGCAGATTGACTCCAAAAGAGAGGATAGCTCTTTGCCTAGTTCTCAGCCTGATAATGAGCAAACAGGAAAACAGGCTGCTAATGAGCAGATTGACCTTGATGATACAGGAACTTTAGATAGGGCCGCCCGGTTGGAATTCTGTGTTTGAAGGAATGAAAGGATAGCTAACAAGAGGGAGGCCAGAGGCCAAAGAAACGCCTTCATGTTTTGCAAAGGGTATTAAACAGGGGGTTTGAGACCAGATCTTTGTCAAAGTAACTTTCGCGTTTACCTAAGGAGTTTGCCTAAGGTAGGCTGGATTTACCTTTCACTCTTTGTGTTCAAGGTTCTAGGACTTTGTCATGTTCTCTTGGGTCTTGCTTTGCTGATGCCTATTGGATTATGCTTCAAGTGCTATGTTATTGTTGGGGTTCAGCTTGGGTGTGAACCTGAACCTGATTCTCTGATTGTATTTCCTGATGCCCATGTAGATGTCAATGTGAATTCTAAGGCCAATTTAGATTATGATGGTTTGAGTAGTGAAGATCCTACAGCCTTGGAAAGTGAAAGTCAAAATTCCCATGAGAACATGCATTCTGAGCTGAGTAGTTCTCCAGAGAATCCGACACCTGGTCTGCCTAATGAGGATAGGCGGGGGCAGATTTGGCAGAGCCGGGGAGAAGCACAATGTTTACGTAGGTCAGCTAGATTTAGAGAAATGCAAACAAAAACTTCAGGCGTGCCTCGCAATAGATTTCTCGGCCTTAAGTATGCCTGGCCTGAATGCAGCTTCAGACCAGGCATCGTTCCAGATTAATATGCAAGCTTTTGCAGGTCTCCTGATTCAAGTGGCCTTGTTCCTCAGAGGTTTTCTAGTTGTTCCAAGTACGCTTAGTGGATTGCTAACATGTTCCAGGATTCAGCAGTTTTGCTGTGGGTTGTATTATCTTGTTTATGGACATTTCTTGTTGCTGATTTTTACTGTGACTTTTTACCTTTGCATATTCCTCTATTTTGTATTCATCTTTCATCAATAAAAAAGGATTGTTTTCCTGAAGTCAAGTGTGGTGGATTGTTGCCTGAGGGTTCCGTTTCCTGCTCTGGGTTGCAACAGTTATCCTGATCTTTTGAAACATTACCTTTGTTTTTAAGAACTTTTTACCTTTTATTTTCAATAAACCATAAGGACTACTGGCTGTGTGCAATTTGGTGTTCTTCAGCAAGGTGATTCTACTCTGAGGTGCAACAGATGGGATCCTGAGGGCTCTGTCCCTGGACTGATGGGAAAATGTTGTAGGACAGACAATTTTGCCCATGTGATGAGGTCGTAAGGCTCCATCTACACAGACCATTTAATGCAGTTCAAAGCTGACTTCAAACTGTTGCAGCCCGATAACAAGCTCCCATGAAAGCTTTTAATGGGTATCAGTGTTCTGTGGTTTATGTAATTACCATCCGGGCCTCAAACTGCTTCCAGGATTTCCTATGTAATCATTTGCACAGCAGAACCATTAATTGAAAGAAAGTTGGTAGTGTATGCTTTTGTGGACAAGTTCTTCAATCTCACAGGTGCTACAAAATCCCTTTGCATTCTTCAAACACTTAATAAAACCTGCTGCTTCCCCGTTCAAAATATTTTCTCTTTTTTATAGCAAGACTGGCTTATAAAACTAACATGCACAGTACATCAAAGAAAAT